AATATTAGTAAGTTCCTCATTCTTGCATTTTAATAGGCATCAGGTTGATACCTTTGTGCTTGTATCCTATATAAAGGCAAACTGGTTTTCAGGAATTGCCAGCAAAAGTTTAAATCTCTCTAAATTTGAAAGCTTTTAATGTAAAACTATTGTCTCTTTAGAAATATTTGACTTAAAACAACTAATAACAAGTAAATAAAATATACAGCAAAATTGCCTAAGTGGAATGCAATAGATGTCTGATAAAAGCCTTCTCCAGGTATTTTCCTGCTGTCCCAGTTATTCACCATAAATACTTCAGTGCATAGCGAAAAAAATGCATATTGACTCTGAACTCTTATTTGCTTGTAGCTTACTGTTAGCAGTACAGTTGCCACTTTCTACTTTGTCCCTCAACTTAAAATAATCCGTGATTCTTCTAAAGTGAGCAGGTAAGGCGTTTAGAAGATGAAGGGGAGCAAAAAGCCACATGCCACCCTACCTCCCAGAGACGGAGATCTGCTAGTAGCCAGGAGCCAATGTTAAGCTAGGAAATCCAAGAAAGCACCTACTTTGCAATCCCTTAAAGCAAATCTGTTACTGGTAGGAAATTGATACGGCATGATGGTTACAAATAAACGGTACGATAAGCTATTTATTTCTTATTGCCTTCACTTCAAAGATGCCAGCAACTGCCTTTGTCACTGGTGGAAGTCAATGTAAATTAGCAAGATAGACAGCTTGGTTCTCTCTCATGTCTAGCTTACCTACAAGGTAAGCAAAACAGCAATTACATCAACTGAAAGAGTAATTACATCAACTGAAAGAGCAGAACAGAAGTAGGACTGCACAAATCAAGGAGCAAACTGTTTTAACACTGAAATGTCATACTCTGCCCTGTCAAGTCAGAGACAAGTTTGATCCTGCCTTGCAGATAAAGACAAAACCAGCAAGATTAACAAAACACTAAGAAAAAACAATTAAAAAGCTTGGTAAACTTCCTGTAACAGCTATGCAAATAGCCACAGACTATGAAAATAAGCATTCCAGGAGACCTAGAAAAGTAACACTTTATTACATGGTGCCACAACAACAGTGGTGTATTTAGAGAGGAATGAACTATTAAAATAAAATCTCTTTGATCAAATTTTATCAGGTATAACACTATCCAAAATCACCTGACCAGGAACTTTCTCCCAGAAATTCAGTTTGGCTGCCCATTCAAAATGTGTCCGTGGCCTTACTCTATAGTTTCCACAGAACATTAAAAACAAAAACCCGCCCAAAGCCTGCAATTAAGTATTAACCAGCGTCACTGAAAGCGTCAGTCACTCTCACAGACACTCTTGAGGAAACACAGAGCAGATGACCAGGTGTTCACTCCCTCGTCTTTCAGATTAGGGTTAAGAAAACACGTGAACAGATTTTTCACTCCCATGGGTATGTGTCTCCTTCAATAACCACATATGGAAAAAAAAACCTCTAGGTATGGATTTCCTTAATTATATATTTCTGTCATTATATATATGTCATTATATGTTTCTCTCTCTTTTTCCTTCCCTTTTCATTTGCTCACCTAGCCTGCTACTGGGACAGTTGGCATTCTCAAGCACATCCTCCGTATACCAATCCATCACATCGAAACACTTGCACGTACCTCAAGCATAGACAGAAGGTCATACAAAACTCCTGGAAAACAACCAAAACATGATTTAGATTCCTCATTTCCCAGGAGCTCCCACACAAAGCCGGAGCTCTGGGAATGTTCCACGGCAGTCTGCTCCAGAGACGCTGACGCTTAAAACCTGGGATTGCCAAACCTGAAGGTTCTCTCCAAAATGACAGACCTTGGAGAACATGAGCTATCATGCCAACAGGTGACAGCACGTTTATTTCTGATGGAAGCGTTTTGGTGCCATACAGACCTCATTTCTATAGGAATCTCAAACCAAACCACTGCTAGAAATTTTTTGCAATAAATTCTTTGCATTTTTCTAGCTAGCACTAGTAACAAAATTTGATTATTTGTACAAATAAGAGATGCTGAAATAAGAAACACGCTATATATAATTTTATTTCTAGACACACTTTCTAGGTCATATGCATTAGTTTCCTTACAAACGGTCAAGAGTTTTGCTTTGCTCAGGATTACACAATAGGAACCAAAAGTCTTTTCCCAAAGCATACTTAAATGGTGCAGTGGGCACCACAACCAATTCTTCTGAAGAGGCCATGGCTCAACTGAGATTTACACATCAAAGAAAAATAAGTATGTATATCTCCACAAATCAGTGTGGGTTTTTTTTACCCCCATGTCAGAAGAAATACCACAAATTGCAATTTGTCTCACAGCATCTCTTCATTAAAGTTCCTGAGCAGCTAAAAAAAACCACCTTGAAGATTGCAAGGTCTCTGTGGAAGTGTAGCAACGTCCCCAGACATGCCTGAACCCTGCTTTTAACAGTGGCCTGCTACTCAGATCAGTCAACCCTAGAATTAGCTGCAAGCTCCAAGGCTGGGATGGATGCCGGCTCTGTCCCAAACCCAGTTCTTGGCCCATACTGACCAGTGTGGTGGGCAAGCACCCCGTTGGTGATTAGTCTAGGCTTGGCTGCAGCAGGACCATATAGTCACCCTGTAAACTCACCTCATGGGCTATTAAACGGCATTCAAGTACCAGCTCTATGTTCATAGAGTGAACAGCTGGACTGGCATGAATCCTCAGGCTACCACACAAGGCACTATATATTAATGTGGATGAAAAGTTGTTTTAGGCTTGTCAGAGATGGCATAAGGCAGCCTACATAGCCCTTATTTTAGACACCTACAATATTTTAAAGTATGTTTTAAAGATGGTGAGAAGTTTACCGATTTTAGCAGAGACAAAAGTGACTCTCTTGATTCTGCAGTTCTCATAAGCATCTACAGACAGGTGGGAAGGAAAGCAAGGTCAGCATAAGGTAAGATCATTTTATATTTCTATTTGAAAAGAAAACACTGTATCTGTAAAAGAAACCATAACAAAGATTATTTCGTAATCCTGTATTTTTAAAGACATGTTGTCTATTTAGCAGGTGTCAGAAGACAAAATTTTCATACAGAAGCAATACCAAATAAAGAAAATTTGTGGAGAGATCATATCTGTCCAAGATAAATTAGTCTTACACTTTTCATGACTTGGCATTCTATCCAAACTTGCAAGGAAAACCTATTACTATCACGCAGTCGAGATCTCCTGACATAAGTTAAAATTCAACATTTTCTCACTTCAAACTACTGCTCTTAAAGTGGATTTCTAGTGTTTGGACTCCAGAAGTTCTTGCTCCGAGATGGCATTCTGACCATACAATTATTGTCATTAGTGATGAATGATGTTTATGAAACATTCTTCTACCAAGTGAAGACTCTCACTGCTGACCATTTCTATTCTGGAAAACCATCTCTCTCAAGAGAGATGGAAAAATGTGGAGATCAATATATTACTATGTACTTGATTCACCATGTAACCAAGTACACAGAACTGACTTTCAGAATGTCAGACAATTGTAACTCCCAGATTTTATTTTTAAAATCCTCCATCATATGACAGCAAATTTTACGCAGCTGAACAAAGTCAGCAGAGCAGAAAGTTCTTTTAGCAAGCAACTGTGTTAATTTAGCAAGCAATTGTGCTTGCTAAACAAAACTGTGAAGAAAGAAAACCTGAACATAGCCAGAGTTCAGATCCAAGAGGACCAAGAACTACCAGAAGCTTATTTGATCTGATTAATTGGCTGTCTGCATTTCAGCCAATGTATCTGGAAAAGTTACAGGTGAAGTGTGAAGGCAAAAAATTAATCAGAACAAAATAACTTCCAGAACTCCTTCCACAGATAATTTGCTTTTAACGTAAAAGCTAACACTGAAGGAAGATGCATAAACTTATGGCCATGTTTAGACACTTATCCTATCGCTGATCACTCAAGTCAGTCTCCGGAATATGTGACTGCAAAGTCAGGTGGCAACCTCACAACACACTGGAAACACTTCTCTACCCCAGCATCACGGCGAGGAGAGGAACAGCTGGCTTTAATCTCACCACTACGATGTCTAACAAGATAAAACGATTACTGCAACATACAGACCTTGAAGACAAGGTACCTTATTTTCAGCCATACCACCCACATGTGATCAAAGTCTTGTCCTATTATGGACAGGGCTTAACCATGTTCCATTACTCTCAACAATTCTGACCAGGCCCAAATAATATGGGTTGTGTCAGTTCTCTATAACCACAAGGCAAGGCCTTTGACTTTTTTGCAGTATGCTCCCCTGTAGAGGAATTACAGAAGGTGAATGAAAGTCAGAATAAGAGATTATACCTACTTCCCAGCCTTCTATTCCTAAATTTAGACAAATCAAATTTTGCAATCTTATATGTCTGTACATATGCTACATATTTTAGCCTTAGAATTTGCATTATATATTTTTGGCACTCTGGCTGCCCTCTTAGAATGGGCTCATTTCCACCCAGCACAGAGGAGAGGAAACCAAGCTTTTCTTTTCCTACAGTTACCATTCAGACATATCCAATATACTTCTGCATTCATCATGAGGGTTTTTTCTTTTTTTGCATTGTGCAAAGAGAAATTAAGAGTTTCAGATATCAAAAGTAACACTGCATGACTCAAACATTTTTAACACCTAGAGGCTTTCATAAGGCAATCTGGACTTTGAAAGAAACAGATTTCCTCGAAAACAGACTACTTACTTTACAATACAGTAATAAACGCTACTGCTAACAATTAGAGGAAAGTGTTCTGAAGTGCACATACCAGGACGAAATACATGAAACAGAAAGAGTAACTCATCTGGACTTCTCTTTAAAATAAGGATGAACTAATAAAAATTCATGTCGGAAGAGTGGTGGTGAGATTTTTGTTTTGTTTGCTTTAATCAACACGGACCTTTTGATGAGAGAGACAGCTGGTACCATCTGTTTCAGGACAGAATGAAAACTAAAACTTCTTCACGGTACTTACATATGAGGACTGAGTTCATAAAAGTTTCGGTTTCTGTATTCTTCCACTTTCTCTGGAGTATAAATGGGTAGAGATCTGTAGGGGTTTATTGATATCACCACACTGCCAATGTATGTCTGTTGAAGGAAAACAAAAAAAATTATTGTGGATTTTTCTTTTTAACACACTTTTGCTGCTTATATATTATTCTCCCATTTCATACTTACGCAAAAACAAACAAACAAAAAGCCTAATGTACATACACTCTGAAACAGCTTTTAGATCTCTCTCAACAATCACTGTTGGGTACCAAGTAGCAATTTCTACATAACTGAAAGCCTCTTCATACAATATTTCTGTGACTAATACAGTTGGGGGAGGGAAAGGGAAAAGGACACAGATGTTCACAAAGAACTGACTCCACCTGCATGGCAAATGTCACACGAGTTTTGCTGCAGCCCTTGGGCACTCAACTCGTACAAAACCACGTAAAGGCAAGGCCGGGGTTGGACTGCGCTCCCTCGCCCGAGGAGGAGCCTCGCGCCATCTCTTCAAAGCCTCGGGCACAGAAGAGCTTCACAGACAAGAAATCTGAAGGCTAATAGCCTCTGACAGATTTCTGTCAAAAGAGAGACTTACTGTCAGGATTCAAGTCAGTCGAAGTCCTGCTGTGGTTCCTCAGCAGACATGAAGCATAATTTTTATTTCCAGATTCTAAACATACTTGCCATTACCCTTGGAAAGCAGATGGACAACGTATTGTTTTACTCTGTTAGGTCCCATTCACTACCGAGTTGTATGAAGAGCGATACTGTACACCATGATGACCATGTTGGCACACGACACAATTAACCTGCCTTCGCCAAGCCTACTGTTGGGTGCCCGGCAGCTCTCTACACCTCCCTCCAGCTGCAAGGGTTGCATTCAAACACACCCGAGTAGCAAAAAATGCCAAAACCCCATTCTACCCTGCCTGCAGATACTGATCAAAGATTAATTAAACCCCAAGTGTTTGGTATCTCTTTCCACAACCATGAAATAAATAAATAACACCTGGTAAAACACAACTTTCCAATAACCAGGGACTCCCTGGGAGGTGTAAAGGCTGTACCCAAAAACCACAGGTTCCCGTTATTTGGATTACATTCGCTAGTAACTGCAAAAGAAAAACAGTGGTTTTTACATAGGTCTATGATTTTAAATGGCTTCTTTGCAGTGATACCTTAGCACCTCGCAAACACGATTTGGATTTCTCCCCACAATTTTTCTTACAGGGAAGTGCTGTAATACGCATTTTTAAATGGGAACAGAGGCACAAAGAGCCTGAGTTACTCACCGACAAAGAGCAGAGCACTACCTCCAGAGCTGCAGTCACAAATTAAAAACATTAATTGCTGCAACTCTTCCCTATCTTTCATGTCTAAAGCAATTCTCTGCTAAATGCTTATCAAATTTGGTCCTAAGCAGAAAGCTAGGAGAGCAGGATTTCCCATTTTCCACAGTATGCATATTCACAGGCAAGCTGTGACCTCACATGGCATTTTCTGTCCCATTTAAAACAGAGTTGAACGAACTAGACTGCAGTGATAAAACAAGTAGCGTGAGGCTTCCAGAGACTCTTGTAGCTCATCCTTGTAGTGTTTACTACCCACAGGATGAAACAGAAGCAGCCACTGCTGACAATTCATCGTACAACTGCTGCTACGATGAAACACAATACTTCACTAATTGGTCTCAAGACTCACCATTTCTAAACAAGGCATACTTTCTCCTCTCCTTTGGAACTGGCCAAAAACCTTCTGCAAAATATTTCCCCCCATGTATCTGAGCCCAGAACAGACCAAATATCCTAGAAACAGGCTGGTTTCACACCAAGAGCCCATGCAGAGTGCTGCAAGGGGAGCAAGCCTGAAGGTGCCTCACATCTTGGCAGCCAGGCTGCAACTCAAAAGAGGGACAACTCCAATCTGCCTCACACCGCAACCTGGGAGGGAAGCACCCCCAAAGGCATTCAGATACAGACTGTTGAGAAAATCCCAAAATAATTAAGATTTTTGCTTCTTTCGAATACACGCCACAGTGTGTGCTTATATGTATTTTCTTCAAATAAAAAAAAAAAAAATTGTTCTAGTTTTGTGGTCATCCTCCCCCTAAGGAGGAAAGTGTCTTCCATCTATGTCTGACCTCTCTGGCTGAACAAGAAGAAAATGCAAAAATTGCCTTTCTACTGTGTTTACTTTGCTCTCTCAACACATGCGGCTTTGGCAATTTGCAAGCCTACAGATTCTTGGTGAGAGTAACAGATAACCAAGAGTAAGAAGCTTTCTAGTCTTCACAAGTGCATGGATACCCCACATCAGGACTCTTTCCTGATAAAACATTAATATATTAACTTGTTTCCTCCTAAATCTTAAGAATTTGTGAATTCAGCCTGTTGTGAAATCAGTGCTGCAAAGTACCAGCAGAAGAGAGATGAAGGCCAGATCTTGAAGATTATATTTTGAAATAGGAATTCTTTGGAACTCGAAGACTTGCCCTTTTCAGCTATTCTGCTACCATAATAGCATACAATTTAATCGCTAAGTTCCTTGAAGTACCCCGAGATGCCAAGGTAAAGAAAGATGAGTGAAAGTGAAAACCTTGATTTATATTTTGAATACAGGCATTCAAATGAGATTTATTTAGAACCATCTCTTCATAGCTAAGTATTGCTTAGACGATGTATTTTGGGAATTCAAGTCAGCTGTTTATTGTCAGACATGAACAAATACAGACCATTTCCTAAAATACCAATATTTCAAAAGGTCAAATGACTATATAGAAACAAAGACATACTCATGTCCATTTTAAACACCAAGCCAAAGCATACCAAGAAACCATTGTTTTAGCTGCAAAGCTGCTTACAAGAACTAATACATTTCCTCTTCTAAAAATGCCAATATCTCAAAGCTGATGCCTAATAGATACTTGCCGCTGGTGGTCTGTGAGATTCCACATAACGGGGATAAAAAGATCTGGAAAATAGCTTTCCCACATAACATCTGCCTTCCCACCAGAACTCTATTATAAACAAACAAAATAAATGGCTTAAATCCTTGAGCAAGCCACAAGCACAGAAACATTCCAGTGCTGAAAGTAGAATGCTCAAGAGTAGTGGGAGACCATACAGTGGCACCCCAGGGACTAAAGAGATCCTTCATTTTCCCTGTTTAAGGAAAAAAATGAAACCCTAGAGGAATGGCCTCATGATGATGAACGCACAGAATGCAGTCAGGAGTTTTGATTTCTTTCTTAGCTTTGACATAGTCTTGTTATGCAAGTTTGGACAAGATCTGCTGACTCCTCAAGTTCTGCTAACTAGAGACTCGTGATAATACCCCTTCCTCCAAATTTCTACTTTATTGCAATAACTCACAAAGGTAAATTCTACCTCCTTCATGTGTTTGTCCAAAACCCAAACCAAAAGGACTCTCACTCGTCATTTATCAGTGCATCTGTCTTGTAGCATTGCAACACTGTAATGCACTAACATTTCATCTGCAGAAAAGAGCATTCAAATTTCCGTCGGGTCAAATGACAACACATTCTGCATTCTCTACCAAACCAACACAGACAACTCATTCCTGTTCAGTAAAGGGTTTAAGACCCTGAGTAGGAAGAAAATTCTAAATCACAACTCGACTGGAAAAGCCAAGAATATTTGTTACATCACTTCTAAGTACTGTTGGAGATGCAACATCCAAGACACTTTGATGGCTCATTTTCTCCCCCTAGGATGAAAGCAAACATAACCACTTGGAGCAAGATGTTACTACTACTTCAAGCTTGTATCTGCCTTGCAAGGCCTTCTGTGACTTTCTAACCCAAGCAGCTTAAGAAGAGGCCTGAAATAGCAAGACGATACGAGGCTCCCACTGCTCGGGAGAAACCTGCAGGCAGCAGCCTCTTCCCAGCCAAGGGCTGGGGAAAGCTACTGCTAGAAACTGGCAAACTGCCTGAAACGCCTGTGGACCTTTTCAGCTGAGAGGTTGCAAAAACCTCATAGTGAGCCCAGTGAAAGGTCCCCAAACACCTCTGCAGCCGGGACGCACAAGCACTGCGGTGAAATCTGATACTCGGGGAAGAGGCAAGTACAGGCCAACTCAAGAAGGGGAGCCTTTAGAAGACCATTAGTAGAGCTTACGGGAGAATACTGCACACCCTGGGATACAGTATATTAATAAAGCTATTTTTCCTCCTGGCAAAGTTAGTCTTGCAATAAGAGAAAGAAGAGAGAAGACTGCAGCTGCAGAAGCCAAGGAGTGTTATCGACAGCAGTTGAGGCTGCACCGTTGGAGCTGCAGAGCTGGGGCTATCGTAACAGCCTGCTCCGTATCTTTAAAAGCTTTTCTGGATCGGTGGCATCCTCTGCAAAGCAACCTTCTGCAGAACTTAAAATCATTAAGCAGCTACACAGATTCGCTGCAAACCTTCTGCAAGTGTACTCTACATCACTTTTGGCAGCTCTGCTTCTCACCGATGGTAGCCTGTAACAGTCCAGAAAAATTGCTGCTGCACACAAGTCACTCCTGTTGTGAAATGTCCAATTGCTAATGTACCCTGCAAGTGTGCTAAATTCCCAGGGCCCAGTGAGGTTGCCCTATTTACTTTTTTTTTTTAAATGCTGGAGCATAAAAATAGAAAATAAATAAATTCTAGTAAAAAAAGGTTGCTTGTGTGGATACTGATTCTTCCATTTATGCAGACCAATTTTAACACTCCAGATTTGCATAATGCACATTTCTTTAGTATTGATTATGAGCGAGTGTACTGGGTTCATATCACTTTGAACAGTTTCAAATCACACCACTAAAACAATTCATTGAAATGAGAGACCCTGAAGTAAGATCAAAGAGAAGCGTGACTAGATTCTATTGGAACAAATCCAGAACCAAGGCTTGGGCAGCACCGCTTTCTTGGCAGGGGGGAGGGCTGTATTTTTGTTCTGTGGGTTTTTTTAATGCGACATATGCAAAATTATATTTCTAATATAACACTCATTTTCATTTGTATTTGCCTGAACTACTGCGGTTCTGCATCTTGCCAGCTCATAAGCACGGGTGCCGCTGCACGCTCAGAATAGCCGAGGCCAAGGAGA